ATGATTTAATATAGTTTTAAAATAGCCTCCTTTTAGCTATTTGTGTCCTTTTTGGAGGTGTTAAATGTGGAAGCAATTATCCTCTTCATGACAGGATTTTTTTCTTGGCTCAGTAAAGCTTTTGTGCTTTGTGACACCTGATGCGTAGGTAAGGAAATGGGCTTATTTTGTATTAACTCACAGTGAGTTTCTTTCCCTCAGAGAGCTGAAGGGTAGATATATGCTTCTCTGAGAGATAAACCACAATCTGTTAAGTGTGTAGGAGGATACTAAGAGCTAGAAAAAATTATGTTCTAGTAAAGTAAAATGTGAAAAATCTTGCTGCCCTGCTCTATAACCATGGCAAAAAAGAAAAACAAAGAGCTGATTAAGTGTGTTCATGGGAAGTAACCTAGAAAAGGGCAGCCTTCTTGGTTGAATTACTTCTTGTTAGTTAAAATTTGAATCATTTTTAAAGTGTGTAAGGCATCATATTTTTAGTTGATGGCCCCATGAATTTGAAAGCCTCAGTTCTTACGAGTGTTCCAAAAGCTGGGGCACTGCCAACAGGGAAGATAAAATAAACTCTCTGATTTCATCCAGTGTGTCTAGTGTGTGCCAAGGAAAAAATTCTTTGGACTCTCAGAAAGAATAATTTTTGTTGTTGTTGTTCATAGAAAGATGACAGTACCAGAGTAGATGGTTTGTGCTACTCCAAAACTGTGGAAATAGTTAATTGTCTTTGGGAACATGAGATGTTTTCTTCTGTGGGAAACCTATGTGAAAACACATTAAAAGCACAACTGACTTCTCTACTTCAGACTAGTGAGAAAGTAGATGATTTCATAGTGGACAATCAAGACCAGCACTTGCCTGAACTCAAAAACTCTCACCTCAGGGCTGGCAGTGGACAGGTGGGACTGGAGAAGGACTTTTCAGAAATATTTATAGGAGGTTTATAGGAGGTTAGAGTCTGTAGGACAAAGTAGTTGTGGCAAAATCACCATAATGACTTTTTTTTTTTTTTTTTTGGTACCGGGGATCGAACTCTGGTCCTTGCGCTTGCGCGGCAGATCATAATGACTTTTACAGAGCATTTCCTGTATAGCAGCCATTCTAAGTCCTTCATGTGCATTTTCTTAGATATGTATTAAATCCAGGAAACAGGTATGATGTTCTCTCCATTTTACAGATGAGAAAATCTTTGTAGAAAGAGGTTAAGTCATTTCCTTAGGGGCATAGTGCTTATAGAAAGGGAAATTAGGGAGACAGGAAGAGCATCAGGATTTGAAGTTAGAGAAATCTGAGTCCCAAAAGTGTGGATTCAATTACCATGCAACACTGTGATCAGAAATCCATTTAGGAGTAAGATCACTAGAGGAGCCTCAGTTTAACTGGTTTATATAGATGCTGATGATCAAGACCAGATGAATTGAAAAACATGGTATAGGCAGAGTTTACCTTTGGTTCTCTTTCAGCTTTTTATTCTCCGTCAATCGTTTCTGCTACTTGTTTTAGCTGTCCTCCCGATTGCAAATCCATGCTTTCTTTCTGAAGGATTTTGTTTTCTAGGAGGGATTACTGTTGGAGATAGATTACATTAGTTTAAAAAGTCTGGAGGTAATCTTTGCATTTTATTATGAAATGTTTAAGGAATAGAAATTTCCAAGATGCACAAGGGCCATTTCTGAAAGTGATGCTTCAATCTGCATTTCAGACCAATTTCAATGGTATTTTCAGGCTGGAATCTCTCTCTTAGGCCTTCAAAGCACACTGTAGAATAAGAAGTGGCAAACTTCCTGTCTCCTAGAATGGCCTCTTATAGCACAGAAATGGAGGAAGAGAGTTAAAGGAAGAAGAAAACATTGCACAGATGGAGAGTGATCTAAAAAGGGGGCAGAAAAGCACGGAATCTCATAATGTGGTGCTGAATTTAGACTCCACCTCTTCCAGACTCTAGCCATGTGACTATGGGCAGATGAATAAAAAAACACCTGCATAAAAATACCTACTTTCTAGATGTCTGAAAATTAAATAAGAGAAGGACTGAAAAAGGCAGCAACCAAAGGCTACCTGGGGACAGAAAGTTCTCAGGCAATATTGATACCCACTTCTCTCTCCCTGCCACATTGTATGGAAGAAGTGGAGGAGACCAGAAAGTGAAAAATAATGATTGATGTAGTTGAACTGTCTAGAAGAGAAAGAGACTAAGTTGTGAGATTCTTTTAACATTTTTTTATTTTTATTAATAAATTTTATTTTATTTTATCCCATTCCTCCCTCAAGCCTCACCCACTCCCTATGTACAAAAGCTTTTTTTCCCCATTTTTTCCTTCTATTTTCACTTTTTATAGTCCCTTCTTTCCTTTCTCACTCCCTCCTCCCTTGTTCCCCTTCCCATTTGAGCATTTCCCAGTATCCATTATACATCTCAGTCCTTATTTCCACATTCAGTTCCATAAGTTCTGAGATTCTTATTCCTGGATATGAATCAATCTTGCTGTATTTGTTCATTTAATATCTACCTATTGATTGCTTCTGACATTTTCTTGGGTTTGAGACTTAGACTGATTCCATTTAAAATACTGCTTCTGTAGGCCCATGTCTTTAAGCATTTAGAATCTGATGAACCCAGCCAACTGAAGGCTTTAAAGCATTGCTGGCATCTTTCTCTTGATCCTTCTTCAGATATAGTTCCCAATGAGAACTTGAGAAAGTTAAACAATTATCATTGGCTGTTATACCACATTATCCTGGAACACACTGCATAAGGCATTTTATTTAATTAGAAAATATTTAATCAGCAGATCTTCCACTAACCCTTGGTTATTGCTGTCTCTGGTAGGTATACATATGTAGCATTGAAAATATCAAAATACTGTATAGTCACTATTTACTTCTGAGATTCTATAGCTCCTAATTGAATTGTAGTAATTAAAACCAATAGGTGGTATAAACCATTGAGTTTTTTGAAATTTATTTTTTACTAGTATGTTTGCAGTACATAATGTTTACATTCCTTGTGTGAAGTTGGTACATATATGTAATACATCTTCATTTCTTTTTGCATCCCCTCTCCTTTCCCTCCTTCCCCCTTCCCTCCATCTCTTGAGTCCTTTCCTGTTTGAAAAAGATCTTCCTACTTCCTATTTTCTTTTATTTTGCTCTTTATATTTTGAGTTTCTTGTATAAGAGAAACCATGCAATATTTAAGGTGATGTTTTAGGAGATTCCTTAGATTTTAATTAAGGACCATGAGTTACACTCTGTGCCTTGACTAAAAGTGTACCTATGCCCGTGTTGTGATGCCTGATGCCTTTGGCCCTGAATTTTTAGACTAAATGGGCCAAGAAGAATAAATATTTGTTAGGACCAACTTACAGACTGAAAAGAGGTGGCCTTCACAATACTGCGTGGTGCTTCACTATTGAGGGTGTCCAAACACTCCCCAAATGTCTCCATCCTCATCAGCTTATGCACCCAATAAGATGGTGTTAATATTCATTTCTGAATTTCTCTATATTTATTGCCATTGAATTGCTAGATGTATCCAGCCAAACTTTTCCACCTCTGACACCCTCAAAGGGCTGTCTTGCTCAGGAAAAAGTTTGCACCAAGTGGGGACAACTTCTGCCTCCCTGCTCTGCTCTCCTTTTGCTATGTCAAGTGTCATGTCTCCTTTGGAAAAATGCTGCTTTCCCTGGAGCATTATATCCTCAAATTCACCAATGTGTCATTTGGCTCTCTGTTCTCTTCAGTTTCCACTAAACTACTGGAGCTATGGTGTGGGTGTGTTCTATATGGAAAGAGAAAGACAGAACCCTGCCCTCCCTAACTCTGTCCCCCACCACCCTGTGTTAGCATTGCTTATGCACAAGTGAGCAGCCTCTTCAGATTATGCTTGTCACTCTTCACCTGACCCATTACCTTACAAGGTGACAGCTGAGCCAGAAGGTGTGCTATCTCATCTGCTCCATTGTTTTCAACTCTACTTTAGGTACCCATGAACCGACTTCTGCCCATAAGCCAAAGTCTGTTCCTTCAGCCCCCAATCAAAAGTCTTTATGGATATCAACTCAGGCCTTATGCCTATCAGTCACCAGCCTTATCTTCCTAGTCTTTGTTTATATAGGTTCAGCCAGCCTCATGCTGCTACCCACTCATCTGAGATCATAACCACAAGGGAATGGAGACATCATCAGGGCCTAGTGGTGACTGAAGTCATTGGCCACTGTCGGTGACAAACATGAGGAATACTGCAATAAAAGGATCACAGCATGAGAAAACTAATTTTGAGGAGCTTTTAAACTCATTTCCAGGGCCTGGGATTTAGCTCAGTGGCACCGTGCCTGCCTCACAAGCACAAGGTCCTGAGTTCCATCTCTGGAACCGGAAACAAAATAAAACAAAAAAAGCACCTCATTTCCACATGATTTCCAGTAGAATAGATGTGGCTCAAGAAGTACAGAGTAACTTGGTTGAGAAGACACCCTCGCATGTGACAGAAAGTGAGTTATCCATTTCTATGGCCTTCAACACAATACGGCAGTTTATTCTTGGACCTTCAGTTTTCTTAAACAGCGGAGGGCAGGGACTCATGGGAAGACAGATTTTCTGGGCAGAAGGAAAAGCTGGGCCCACACCAAGTGTGGTGCACATCTGTAATCCCAGCACTCTGAGAGGCCAAGTTAGGAGGACCAAAAATTTGAACCTAGCCCAGGCAATGTAGCAACGTAGTAAAACTCTGTCTCAGAATCTAAACAATAGAAATTTAAAAGGGCTGGAAGTGTAGCTCAGTATAAAGACCCTGGGTTCAATTCCAGTACAAGGAACAAAACAGACAGCAGCTGCTCACTCAGACTTCAGAGGAAACAGGAAGATGGAGAACATGGGCAGAGATGTGGTCCTTTGCACAAACACACTGCGGTGTTTTAATGGTCAGAATCCTCAGTGCTAGGTATCAGTAGGGAGATGCTATTTTGTTTATGGCCCATCCTCTCCTACCTCTCTATTTGACACAGAACCTCCAGTCATTCATTCTGGAATCAAAGACCTCAAGGTTTTGAAAACAACCCAGTCTGGATTTGAAGGATTCATCAAGGACCAGTTCACTACCCTCCCTGAAGTGAAGGACCGGTGCTTTGCTACCCAAGTGTATTCCAAGTGGCGCTATCACCAGGGCAAAGATGTGGATTTTGAGGCCACTTGGTATGACGGGGGCTAGGATCTGGAACTGGGGTGAGGGGTGTCTGTCTGCCTTCTTCCCAGGGTTCCACAGCTCATGGAATCATAGATCCAAAAGGGGAATTTTGAAGTCACTCAACTTCACCTCTCCACTATTCAGAAATCCCTTCTGCATTTTAACTTGTTAAATCAGTGGTTCTCAAACATTAATACACATCAGAATGACCTAGGGGCTTCTTAAGATGTAGATCACTAAGCCATCCCCAGAGACTGATTCTCTGGGTGATGGGGGCCTGATAATTTGCATTTGTAACCAGCTCCCAGATGCTGCTGCTGCAAGGTTTCAAAGGCACTTTAGGAAGCACTGGTCAAACCAAGTGAATATCTAGCCTTCGGACCTCACAGTAAAGCAGAGATGGCTAACTAGGATGACTACGCCATCTCAGTTTGGCAGGAACTTTCCTGGCTTTAAGACTGAAATTTCCATGTTCCGGGAGACCCTTTGATTCCAGGGACACTGAGACAAAGGGTCACACTAAGCTAAAAAAAATGATATGATATGCATAGAAGCACTTTGTAGGTGATAAGTGCTTTCAAATGTAAAGGTATGATTATCCTAATATCTTTGACAAGGAATAATTAGGCTTCTGAACTCCCAGAGCTTGCCTTTTGACTAGATATTCCTTCAGCGAAGCTCTAATTGTTAGACATTTCTAGCCCATGATCAGCTAGAAACTGCTCCTCCTCCCCATGTAGCTTCCTCCCACTGGAATAGTTTTTCTCTATTCTTTTTGTTATGTGATAGGTTTCTAAGTGCTTGGAGAGACCCTCACCTGAGTCCACTTGTTCCTCTTCTATTTTAATTTCTCCCCCGGGCAGCAGGCATCTGCTGTGCTTATGTTGAGAAGATGAGATTGAATGTGTCAGTCAGGGTGGTACTCCTGGCCTCCCACTAAAGGCTGCCACTCAGAGGGGATCTTTTAACCTTGAGGCTCAGATTCATCCGCTCTACCTTGGGGATATCAATATAGTCCTCACTTCAGCTGCGCTGAATTCAGTGACATAATCACATAGAATGCTCAGCACAGAGTCTGGGCACAGAGCAAAAGCCCCAAAGTAACAGTTCAAGGAACCAGCCAAGCACAACAGTAAGAGGGCTAGAGTTTTGGGATTCCTCTTCATAGGTTCCTCAAATGTGCGAGATTTACCCTGAAATTCCCACTGGGCCCTGGTGCCCATCTATGAAGACAGCCTAGTTCAGTGTTTGCTGAGTGGTGTGTGTGTGTGTGTGTGTGTGTGTGTAGAGAAATGGAAAGTGAGTTTTGTTTCTGCTCTTTTCTTTTTTGCATCACAGGGTGATAATCTCTTCTAAAATAAATAATAAATTTTTTTCGGGGGGGCAGAGATGTCACTATGTCTCAGCTTTATAAAGCATAACTGAAATACCACTTCATGAGAATCTTCAGCTTTCTTCTCTGTGCTTTAGGGACACTGTTCGGGACATTATCCTGGAAAAATTCGCTGGGCCCTATGACAGAGGCGAGTATTCACCCTCTCTCCAGAAGACCCTCTATGACATACAGGTGCTCTCCTTGAGGCGGATTCCTGAGGTATGTTTAAATTACTCGGCATTCTGAGGATTGAGAAAAATTTGTGTCTCCTGTCAGCTCTGAGAAAAAGTTGAGAGTTAAAATAAGAAAGTGGAAGACACATGAAAAATGACATCTGTTGTTGTTCAAAAGCTTGTTATAGCAAGTGAGAAGAGAGCAAAAAATGGAAAAATCTGTCCAACCTAAAAACATAGGCCACTGTTACAGTTCTTTAGTTTTGTTGAAAATTCTTTGAGTCTCTTCCACCTGTCTCTGATTTAAAACTCATATTCGGGACACTTCAGTCCCTTGATAGAGAGATAATTAGATGGAGGTTCTATGTTTCAGGGGACCCAGAGAACAAAAGACAGAGATTCATTCAATCCATCTGTCTGTTCATCCATCCATTTATTTGATATTATTGGTTGTTTTATCTCTGATAGTAGACAAGGGATTCAAAGATAAGCTAGACATGTTTCCTACTCTCAAAGAGCTTATCAGTCATCCAGCAAGAAAATCCACATAAACGAACAGTGCAACAGATAAGAGATTATTATGCAAATACAGAGGAAGTGTCTAAAGCAGGGATAGGAGATAGAGCCAGCCACATTTTCTGGAAGAAGTTTGTGTGTGTGTGTTTGTGTGTGTGTGTGTGTGTGTGTGTGTGCGTGCATTGAGTCTTTATAGACAATAAGGGTAATCTGGGCTTATATTCAAGGGAGAGGGAGCAGAGCTTGTATGGAGATGGAAGGCAGCGTAATATAGTCACTTACTGGTAAGAGTCAATCATACATGAGGCTCTGGGAAGGAAAGTCTTCCCATACTCCTATACATGAGGCAGAAACCAATCAAGAGGGCCTTTGTAGGTTACCTATAGAGTTTATACTTTATCTTGAGAGCTCTTAGGATCCAATAAGTAGTGTAAGCAGGGTATTCCATGACCTAATTTGTCCTCTAGAAAGATCACTGTGATGGCAGTGTGATGAGCTAAGAGGATGATGAACCATGGGTAAAGAAATTCGGCAAGGAGGTTGTGGGCCCAGGTCATGATGGGAATAGAGAGAAGTGCCACCCTTAGAGCTGGACAAGAGACTTCTTCGATGGTCCATCACTTCGGAAGCCCCCTTCAGCACTTCCTTTGTCTTTACTTCCCTCCACTGAGTGAATTACTGGAGCCAAGGCAACTCATTCTATAGTGGTTCATGCACTCCTCAGAATTTCCTGCCCAAGTAGCCCTGAGAGTACATCCAAAACCTGAGCAAGCCTCTCCCAGAGGTCTACCCTCCAACAGGCAGATCGTACTATTGGTATGCACACCTGGAGGCCTGAGAGTGGACAAAGCAGCAGACTTTTGCAGGAGGGACTTTACACGCAAGCTGGAATGTTTACCCACATCAGTCTAAGAGAGGAGGTGGGACAGACTGGGGGCCATCGGCTGACTCTTCCTATCTTACCATGTCCTGGCATGGCACACCAAGGGTCAGAAAACTTTTAATTTAAAATGAGCCTTCCAGGTTGTGTTGAAGGTATAGTTGTTGAGGTAGAAGAGCAGAATATGTCTGACTTAAAAAGTTTTCATTTTTAGCTTGATTCATAGCTTTTAAGTCTTTATTCATCTGGTATGTGGATTTCCAACTATACCCTTACTCTAGGACATGTAAATGTTAGGGGCAGGCCCAGAAAGAAGGGACTAGATTGAAGAAGTTAGAATGTTGCCTGCTCAGTTCCTGGAAGCCAGTTGGATGTCAAAGAGGTCTCGCAGGTTTTGAACTCAAGAAGCCCTTACTTTTCTTAAAAGTAGATTTTCTACAGTGAGGGGAGAGGAGTAGGCCTACCATCTGATAATAGGACCAGCAGGAGAGGAAATGTTGGGAAGTAGAAGAACATCAGACAGAGCTGGAATCTATTCCCGAGGGTGGGTGGGTAGCAGGAGTGAGAATGTTGTGGTGAAAGAGATAGATTCACTGTTCCCAATGTGATGCATACTCTTGTGGCTTCCAGATAGAAGACATGGAAATCAGCCTGCCAAACATTCACTACTTTAACATAGACATGTCAAAAATGGGACTGATCAACAAAGAAGAGGTAAGAGAACTTTAAAATATCTAAAGCACATCTCTGCTCCAGCCTCCTTATGCCTCTTCTTCTTTTTTTTTTTTTTTTTTTTGGTAAACTTGGGAATATAATGTCACTGATTAAAACTCTTAACAGCTACTGCTTTGGGAAATGTTTATAGTTGCACTGACTGGAGCCCTCTTGGACTCTGGGTGTTTCAATGCCTGAGGCTGGAGTACCTTAAAAATGGATGAATGATTAATGATGAGGATTGGAAGCTGCAGAGAGGGAAAGACCAAAGAGGAACAGAGTGTGCCCAAGGAAGTAACTCTGAGATCTGCTTCTCGGAAAAATGCCACACAAGGTCAAAGCTTCATTATTCTTCTATCATGAGGCAGTGAAGAGAGGAGAAGAAAAGATTCTATTTTCATTTCCTTTCATCATTTCTGTCTTTTGACTAAGTAGTCAATTCACAGTGCACACAGGAAAGTTGAAAGTGTTTTTGTTTCTAATTGTAAATACACAAGGCATTATGAGGAAATTCATGTTTTGAAAGAAAACATTTGTCTTAGAAAATGCACTGGCCCTGACTTACTTTTAGCTGTAGCGGAAGGTTAAAGCACTCAAAGAGTCTGACCAGGCAGCCTGAAGTCCTGGCTGGCAGCCTGTGTGGTCAGCTCTGGGAGATCAGAACTGTCCCTTCCCATGGACCACTTTCAAAATGGTAAGATTTCTCCATTTGATCTATCTGAAAACATGATCTAGGTAACTCCTTTTAGTATATAGCAAGCAGTGGGACATGGAAAGGGTTACCTGTTATGATGGTCCTGCTGCTATACAATCATATTCTTTGGTGGATAAATGCCAACAATGGAATTTACAGAAAGTCCTGTGTTCTTGGGCAGCTGGCTCATGAGCCTTTTGCACCAGGTACCTCGATTCAGTTCTGAAAATACTGCTGACAGACACTGTTGGGCTTTGTACCACCATCAGGTGCAGGAGGACATGGGCAGGTGACATTGGAAAACAAAGGTTATGCTTGAGTGTCTGGTGGAGGTAACCTGAGCTCTGAGCTGCGCTGGAGGACACAATGTGTCCCAGGCATTTTTCATTCACCTCCAAGAGAGGCAGCTCCACTTCAGAGGATGGAAGGATCCGATACCCAGAGTTTCATCAATTAGGCTATAAAGGAATTTTACAATGATTGGCTGCTAAAGGACAAAACAGATATCCGAGAGTAATCCTAGGCAGGACAAATGAGCCCCAAACAGAATAAGGATCAGGTGACATGACTAGAGTGGTGCTTAGCTCACGATACCAGAGAGAGGATGGCATCCTTGGGGCGCTTGAGCCTCAGGCTTGCCTTGATCCTTTCAAAGGCTTGCCTGTGAGCTGAGGCTGCAGTGTCCCTCCCTCTAAGGTGCCAGCCTCACAGCTCCCTCCTAAATCCTTGCTGTGGTCCTGGAGGCAAGGAGGCCTGGGTTCCTTTGGGTCAGGGGTCTGTATAAAGGCCCCCGAGTGGCTGAACACACTGCTCCTATACCTTGGGGGTGCCTGGAGCCACTCTTGGACCCTCTCCCAGGTGTGCACAAAGTAAAGTCAGCATGTAAGAAACAGGAAGTAGAGACACACTAACAGCAGCAAAGAAGTGACAAATGACAGGGTGGAAGCAGAATAACTCTAAAAGCCCAGCTGTCTGGAGCTATTTAGCATTGTGCTAACAGCCATGTGGAGCTCAGATGCTCCTGAGGGGATGGATAGATTCTAGATTGGGACAAGGATTGATGTCCAAAGTGAGTCATCCAGAAAAGGTCAGATTGTGTTCACTACATTCTGTTTTAAAATCAGGGATATACAATGCGTTTTAGAAACATTTATATCCCAGTGTTTAAACTTTTAAAAAACTTTTTAATTTTCTGGAAAATAAAAGCATCTCTCAACTTTTGCCAGAAAAATAATGCATTACCATGCTTGGAGTAACTTTACTGCAGGGCATATACATTTTGCTGCTTAATAAGCTATTTTTGTTGTTGTTTTAATATTGATTCATAGAAAGCGGAGGGCTGTTTTAATGTCTCTGAAGTTACCATGTGGTGTTTTGCAGGTCTTGTTGCCATTAGACAATCCATATGGCAAAATTACTGGTACAGTCAAGAGGAAGCTGTCTGCAAAACTGTGACATTGTGACCACCAGTAGAAGTCCATCTTAGCTGAAGAATTCCTTAAGTCATTTGTGATTCTGGAGATTATAATGTATATGCAAATTTTCAACCCAGTATATTAATTTATAGTATACACTTTCCTCCTCTATCAAATAATTTGTTTCTTTATACCTAACTCAGGAAAAGGCATCGTGTGGGTTATTTCATTAGTAATTATAATATGCTTTGTGAATATAGTTTACTTTAAAAATGCTGAACACTATTAGAAGAATCATAAATCAATACTTCTTTTTGGTGGTTTTGTGTATTCCTATCTTAGAGAAGATTTAGAATCAATTTATTAAAAAAATCATGAATTAAGGGAGGGGTCACATCAATTAGTTTGAGCACAAGTATGAGAAGCCATTATCGTTTTCATCTTACTGATGCATCTACTGATCATCTTACTGATGCAGAAAATGTAATAAAGCTATACTGAAAAATTTCACCATTGTGACTTCAATTGTTTGACTATTTGAACTTTAAAAAAATTCTCTAGTATATGTATCATTGGTAGTTTATTTCTAGCCTGATACCACTATTATGATTTTATATATTGATTTTTATGGCCTTACAACACTTAGAGAATATTTAGTACACATTAGGGTGTTCAAATCAGCTTAAATTGTTTTTCTTTGGATAATACATTCTTTTGGTGCAAAGAGCCACATTTAATAAATATGAAGTCAATGTACAGGTGGATGAATGAACATATAAAAAGTATTTATATATATATGTATGAAAATATTAGCTATGGTGAATTCTGGAGGATGGGATTATGAGTGATTTTTATTTTTTACCATGTACTTTCAGAGTCTTCTCAGTATAAACATTTATTGCTTTCATGATCAGAGAAAGATTTGCCTTAGCTACTTTCTTGTCACTGAGGCACAATACCTGAACCCACAACTCTTAGGAGGAAAGGTTTATTTTGGCTCACAGTCTGTAGAGGTTTCAGTCCATAGTTGGCTTCCTCCAAGGCAAGGCAGCACAGCAGAGGGCCATGTCAAAGGAGAAAATGGTTCACGGCATGGCAGGCAGGAAGTAGAGAGGGACCAAGGGAAGAGGAGGAATATGTACCCTTGCAAGCCACGCCCAAAATGACCCACATTTTCCTACCAAGATTCACCTCCCAACATCACACCCCACTATAAACCCATCAGTGGACTCATCCAGTGATGAGTATCACACCCATGATCCAGCCACCTCCCCAAAGCCTCACCTGTGAGCACATGAGGCTTTGGGGGAACATCTAGATAGAAACCATAACACTGCTGTACATATTCTGCAAAGCTTCATAAGTTATAATTTCAAAAATCCATGGTTAAAACCTATCCATGTGAACATTCTATATAAATTTCCTCTTTTAAAAATTTTCTTTTCCTCTTTAAAAAATAAAATCTCTATTACTTTAGAAATGCTTACATATGAGCCCTCAGTATTGTCCAATAATTCTACTTCAGTCATCATTATACTACTGCAATCTAAAATAGAATTGTATTACTAAGATTGCCATCGCTATGGTGAAATACCTATGGCAATTAACTTAAAAAGAGGAAAGGTTCATTTTAACTCATGGTTCTAGAAGTTCCCATCTATGATCAGATGGTCCCTTTGCCTTGGCACTCTTACAAAGGTGGTACATTATAGAGGGAGCAAAATCTCTTGTATCACAGGCAGGAAGAAAAGAGGAAAAGACCCAGGTCCCATAATCCCCTTTGAGAGCATGCCCTGATAACCTAAGGACCTCCTACAAGTCTCCACTACTTCCCTGTAACAGCACTTTGGAGACCAAGCATTTAATTTGTGGACATTTGGGGACACTTATCTAAATGATAGTGATGATGTGATTAATCACACAAGCTCACTGGTGCCACCTTTTACTGCATAATATAATAACTTTCCTCATCTATAAAATATAAGTGAAGGGCCAGGGATTTAGCTCTGGTTCCACTGCCTGCCTCGCAAGCACAAGGACCAGAGTTCGATCCCTGGTACCAATAAAATAAAATAAAATAAAATAAAATAAAATATAAGTGAAAATAGAACCTACTCCATCAATTTTTGTGAATTGAATGGGTTAAAGTTTATGAGTTATGGTGGTTTCTGTGCCTGATACATAAACATTTCTAGGCAAGTGTTAATTGAATGTAACAAATTGCCTGCCTTCTTTTCACTGTTGCTAGTCTATTAGCGAACTAGGTGATCAAACCCTGTCATTGGCCTGTATGAGTGAGGTGAGAGAGGGAGATCTTGAGAGCAACCGAAACTTACAAGATGCAGGAGATCATTTGCAAGGTAGCGACTACTTGAAAAGAACATAAGGTACGAAAAAGGAAGTAATTTGATAAGGAAAGTTTTATGCTACATTGAATACTCATGCTGCAAAATGTGTTCCTACACCATGTAAATTGCAAGGCCAAATGGCTGGTACATTCTATTCCTCTGCTAATTTGATAATTCTGTTCCAAGAGGAGAATCTAACATGAATGTCTAAATAAACCACACACACCCACACACAAACAAAAATTTAATTAGGCCTTTCTTACTTAATGTTCTCTTATTTGTGTAAGTTTTAGAAACATTTTTTTCCAAAGAAAAAGCCTATTTTAGAAAAGAATCTAGATAGAAATTGTGGCCCATTTCATACATGTTCACATTTTGCTTCTCCTGACCTCTTAACATATTCACTGTAATGGATTGCAAATGAGCTACTGGTTGTTACAGTCCAGATGTATGTTGGGAAAACTGTAGTCTATCCAATTGTCAAAGAGCAAGTTCCTGTTTTGTGAAGGATGTTTCCCTGGGGTTAAAATTGGCTTCACCTTCTTCTGTTGGGTCTGGCACAGGGATGGTATTGCAATACTCTGCCTCTTGTTTCTCCTCATCCTTCCCCTAACCCCATGCCAAATACTTTCATGGAAGAATTATGCAGGTGATTCCAGTGCCGTGAACTGTGTGGAGATAGTTTGTATAGTATTCTATGCAGCAGGCTGTCATTTAGGGCTTGTACTTTTGTCAGCCAAGATTCTGGCTAAGGCTTGTTTCACATCTTGCAAATCTCATCATATAACATTCCATAGTGACAGATTCAGAAAATATGACTGATTTCTTTTTAGAGTCGGACTTAAGTCCATACTATTCCTCATTTTCAGAAATTGCTTTTTCTCTCTTTTTTTAAACATTTGCATAATAGAAATAAATCTTTTAAGATAAAATTTTACTTATTTGTCATTGAAACAGAATTTATCTTTTTCAAGCCCTGCAGATTTTAACTGCAGAAACTTGAACTTTTTTCTAATCTTTTTATGGTTTGTCTGGAAAGAGCATTTCCTTTCCTTCAGACTCTGAGCTGTATGGAGTTTGCCCTTATAGCCACCTTTTCAAAACCTTTGTAAATTCTGTCTCTATACCTGCACTTAGGAGGAACCCAAAGCTTGTTTCCGAAAACATGGATTTCGACACACCTTCTGCTTCCAAAGGCCTGAAACTCAATCTGTATTCACAGCCTTTATTCTAATTTCTTTTAGAGCCCAGTAACCTCATATTCTTCTATCTGTCTAGACTCACTCTCAGAATTCTTGTAGGGTTTTGGGCCTATTGAAACACTGTTGAGAATATAGTGGCTATGGATCTTTTTCCCAGAAGAATGCTCATTCATATTTCTACAGGTGCCTCAACCTTTACTAAAGAACTAGTTTACATCCTGTCCTTAAAGTATAAAGGAATCTAATATAAATTTACCACATGAGGAATACATTCAGCCTAAAGTAGAAGATAAGTATACTGTTCGCCTTTACATGAGAAAAAGAAATACATATATTTAGAAAAGAAAGAAAGATCTCAGGTATATTAGTTTCTTGAGGCTGCTGTAATGAATTATCATAAACTTGGTGGCATACAACAACAGAAATTTATTCCCTTATAATTAGTTGTAGCAGCTGGAAGTCCAAAATCAAGGTGTTGGCAAGGCCATGCTCCCTATACAGGCTTAGAAGAGATTTTGTGTTCTTGTCCTTCAACGGTTCTTGGCTTATGGATGCATCTAGTGTCTGCCTCTATGATTACATTGCTTTTTCTCTTCTAACTGTCAGATCTCTCCTGTATGACTCTTATAAGGACACTTGTCATTGGATTGGGGGCCTATCTGGACAAACAAAATAATCTCTTCAACTCAAGAGCCTTACCTTAATGACATCTACAAAGGCCTTTCTTTTCACATTCAGTCACATTTGCAATATCCAGCAATTAGGATGTGGATTTTCATGTTATGGTCATCACTCAACCCACTACAGCAAGTAGTGGTGCAGAGGGCTTCTTAAAGGCAACTTTTCTTGTATATATAAGAGTCTTTAGATCTACTTACACTGCTACTACTATTCCTTCAGATGTGGGGAATGGTCACACCCCACCTCCCAGTTTGATCAGGTGTTACGTAGACTTTTTTTTTTAAATTTTATTTTTTTGGTACCGGGGGTTGAACTCAGGTCCTTGTGCTTGTGTGGCAGGTGGCAAAACCACTGAGCTAAATCCTCGGCCCTACATAGACATTTATTAATGAGTAAAGAGCATAGACTGACCAAATAGTGCACAATTTTAGATTGGGCCCCACTAACTCTAGCTGTGTGATCATAAGCAAGTTATACTCCATAAGATTTCAGTCCTCTGCTTTGTGAAAAAAGGAATAATAATCATACCTACTTCACAAGGCATTGGGGTAACTGGGAATTAACTGAGACAATGAGAGTTTAGTTAAGATGCTTTGGGAACTGAGTAACTCCATCCCTACAAGTGTCTTATGTGGAAAAGACATCTTGTTTACTTGAGAAGTTACCCAGTGATTTGGCATCAGGACCCAGCACATTCCATGCTCTATTCCACCATTCTTGGTGTGTGATGATGTCTTTTCTGTGGCCACTCAATGGAAGATAAAGCTCCCATTAAAGATACTATGGTACATTATCCAGGTCTCTCTTGCAACCAAAGCACTCATCCCTTCAATGTCACAAGTGTGGGTCTCTGGTGGCTTATAGTTGATTCTCTCTTCAGGAGTTCCTTTGGCTGAAGAACCATCTCTCTCAACTTTATACTCACTACCCGGAAGCAGCTCACATCCAATGTCTAGTCCATGTGAGAGATGAAAAGCTCTGGTTCTTTGCCTCTGTTGGAACAACTCCTTGCCCATGTCCAGTCCATGCCCAGAGCTTCTGACTGGTTAAGAGTCCTGTTACAACTGTTCAACTTCTTTCTCTGCTTAACTTGCTTCCTTCACTCTTCATGGTGTCATTCCAGAGAGCACCCCCCACCGAACCTTCCGTACACAAATCTTGGACCTCATTGTGGTTTATTTGGGGAAGCTGACTTGTGATATTAGGAGTGGTTCCAGAAAGGAGACTCTAAATTGGAATTTTGGAGCTGGATGACCCACTGGCTAGTTGACGACGAGCC